TCAAAAGTCCCTGGCTTTATAGTGATTAAATGGCCTTTGTATACTAAATTCTTAAATTCTCGCTGTCATTTAAAAATGAATGGGTTCTATATTAATTTTGAAATGTATTCAGTTATGTTATTTTAAAACAGCCTTTCGCGTCTCTTTACCATTCTGCTGATGTTGAATTTGTTCTCATTTGATGAATCATCTTCATATATAATGCAGTTATTAACAAATATAAGCAACAAACCAAGGATGACAGTAATATTCTACTATATATATATGTTGGTCCCATGTATCGCTGCAGGCAGGTTTGGGAGCCAAAATTATGGTTTTTACTTTAACTTGTGGATAAGTCAAGGGTAAAACTTTGTGGCATAAACATAAACATTTTTCTCCTTTTAAAGATGCATAGGGGGGCATGGGTAGGAAGAGCTAATGAATTGGAGAGGATCTGTTTATTTGAAAAATTGCAGTGGAGGAATATAAATTGAATCTGTACAGATACACATAGGGAAAGGAATATGAATGAGGAAAATGCATGAGAATGCAGCACAAAAAGGGAGGGGTTAGAAGAGCAAGGAAAGCAACCTGCCTGTATTAGGGACCTTGTGTGACAACAGTGCCGCAAAGCAGAAGCAAGAAACTCCCACCTCATTACCCCTCCCTTGCCCAGACCAGAGAAAGAAAGGCAGCCCTCCCATTTTTGACAATATTTTCCTGATATTCCTGTTTTTTCTAGGTAGACATATGTAGGAAGATACAGTATTCACGGTTATAGTAGAACAGTGCCCTTCCTCACCACCATAAACCTGACTAGCAAAAATGTATGGAGACTAGATCTGCAACCCTAACCCTGAGGCAGAGGGAGAGAGGGATATTAGTTGGATTTACTGAAACATATTTCTGAATAGATATATAAAGGCTCATAGTGTAAAGGAGCAACAGCAACATCTTGTGTATCACCACCTCAAGCTAAAAAAAAGATCTTGTTTTGTCTGCATTCAAGTCATTTCCTACTTATAGCGATCAACCTGCCATGGTGTTTTCTAGGCAAGATTTATTCAGAGTGAGCTTTCCTTTGCCTTTTTTTGAGGCTGATAATAGGTGACTTACCCAAAATTGACCAGTGGGTTTCTCTAGCTAAGCATGTATTCAAAACACTGGACTCCAGAATTGTGGTCTAATGCTAACATGGTTACACCACACTGGTTCACAAAAATGGTTTTTACCAGGCATAATTCATATCTTTTCAGTGCTCTTCTCTGTTTTTTTAAAAATTTAAACACAAGGACATATACACAGAGAATGAAATGAACATTACCCATAATCTTGTGGCATCCTGTGTTGATAAAATTCCCTGTTTTATTTATGTACTCCTTTTAACAGTTCAGTAAATGTTTCTTTTAAAGTGGAAACGTAGTGGCACAACAACTTTTACATTCATTACTTTCATTGATGAGTGTAGCTGCTGTGCTTAGCATATTTTTTACAATTTTAGCAATAAAGTACCTAAATAAACCCATGTTAGTTGATTTCTTCATGATTTTTATTGAGTTGTTTCATTGGGCAAAGTAAATGAAAGTTTATGAAGCACATGCAAATGCAGAGTTGGGATTTTTAAGACCCATTCATTTCCTAATGTTTTTAACTTGTTGAAATCATTTGTTTCTAATGTAATGAGCTTCATATCAATATCCACGTTGGGTGGTTAGAAATATGCTCTTGACTAACCTTATTTCTGTAATTTATAACAGGAAACCAAACTTAAGCCTTTATACTTTGCAACCATATGTATCTGAAGAATTTTAATGAGTGCACCTCTGGCAGAAAGAAAGAGCCAATCCTAGTCTTTGTTCCTCTGTTATTTTTTAACAGGTAGAGTTCGGTAGTTTTATTTCAGCTGTTAAAATGAATAAAAATAGTTATTAGCTTCCTAAAGAACCCTCTGTAGATAATACTGAATTTATTCCAAAAAACACAATACTGTTGTACATTTTTCTTTTGATTTCTAAGTAGGTAGGTCTCAAGTTGCGGTGATGTTTTTTCATTCTGTTGACAAAGGATACTAAATCATTCACAGTTCAGTGAAAACATAGGTAAAAATGATGTCATTCCATGCATAGTTTAACCAAAAGATCCACCGAATTCATTGGGACCATTATGAATTGAATAAATTGGATTTCAGCCAAAATACTTTGCTTCTAGCCCATTATACATATCTATATAAATAAAAATGTAATGTTCGTTTGTGGGATAAACATAACTCAAAAACCACTGGACGAATTGACAAGAAATTTGGACACTACGCCCCTAACAGACCAACGAGTGACCATAACTCATAAACCCCTCCCAAAATACAGCGGAAAGGACTTAAACACTAAAATCTAAATGGTCATACAGTGCATGGACAAAAACGACAGCTCCCAGCATCACCTAGACCAGGCCCTTTAGGGGAGGAGGATGCTCCAAATGCACTGCTTCCAATCTGCAAGCTTGCTTCTCCTTGGATTTCTTTGAGAGCATCCCAATCTGTACATATTTCCTATTCCCGGACTGCAGCTCCCAGCAATACTCCAGATAAGATATATAGATTAGATGGAGATAGATAGATAGTAGGTAGATAGATCAGTCAGGAGGACTGCTGGGAGTTGCAGTCCAAGAATAGGTAGAGAAGGAAGAAAAGAGAAAAAGAAAAGGAGGGGAAGAAAGGAAAGAGGTAGCAAAGGAAGGAAGGAGAGAAGGAAAGAAAAAGGAATGAAGGAAGAAAAGAGGGAAGGAAGGAGATAAAGAAAGAAAGAAGGAGAGAAAGAGGGAGGGAAGGTTGGCCACAATAAGTCGTGGCGGGTACAGCTAGTCCTTGCTTAAAATGTCATAAGGCTACTATATGTACTGAAAAACAAAAGTTAGAGAGACCAATCCATTGATTATGGAATACATTTTTGTACTGTTACAATCCATCTATTCAAATGCATAAAACATCCTGGGATATAAATACGAGATGCATAAAATGTTATCTTGGCTTATAACTCTTGATGAGGCTTGTGGAGTCCTACAAAACTTTATGGTACAAACATATCTTGAAATACTCTCCAGATGTGTGGCCATGTGAATGTATTGTAGCAAAAGCAAACTCTTTTCACCATAATCATTTTATACCCATCTGCTCAGCTAACTCCTAAAAGGGATTTTATTCATCACTTTTCCTAATACTATTGTGATAATTCTACACAAATATTTCATTGACCTGAAAAACTTCAGCAGTTTATTTCAAATGTTTGGTTTAACTAATTTCTAAAGTAAACATTAGCATTATTTAATAATTTTTGACAGACTGCTGCTGCATAACCCCTTTACCCTTTCTTACTGTGGCATTAAGAGCGAAAGAAAAAGTTCTGTTAATTGTCCATGTGTGTTCTCTCTCTCTCTCTCTCTCTGTCTGTATATATATTGTATATATATATCTAATGAGCCACTTTTTCAATATGTGTGAGATTATGGATGCTGACGCCAGTTTTCATGATTTGCAGCTAACTTGACACGTCTTTGTTAATTTATAAACAACACTTACAATTTACTAAACATATCATGACAAATGCTTTGTTGTTTATTACCATCACCACCTCTATGAATGAAAGACCTGTAGGAGATGCTGTCATGGACACCTCTGCTCAGATCCTAAAAGTTACGCACCCTGACTTTCTTGATTGAATCAATCCACCTGTACTGTGGTGGTCTTCTCTTCCACATTAAGATCTTTTCCAGTCAGTCACTGTTTCATGATACATCGAAAGTACAGCAATCTCAGTTTTGTCATCTTGGATTTTCATGAGAGTTCAGGCTTTCTTTGCTTTAGAACTTATTAATTTGTTTTTTTGGCAGACCATGGAATCTACCAGCACCACATTTCAAATGAGCTGATTCTCTTCTTGCCAGCTTTCCTCACAGTCTAGCTTTTATAATCATACACAGAAATTGGAAACATGATGGCAAATGTCGAATGGCAGTTTATATGAATTTCCCTTTGTGAGATTGAGTCAGCATTTTATCACACATATCAGCTGCATTATTGCCAAGACAATATTATTCTATTAGTGAGGTGCCTAAAATAAGCATTTTCAGAACACTTTCTATAGCGTTTACCTTTCCTGAGAAAAATAAAACAACTGTTAAAAGTTAACTACATGAGAAATGTGTACAATAAAAAAATAACATTGGAGATGATTTAGTATAGTACTCCCTTCTATAATAAACAGGTGTGGGGTTTTTTTCTTTAGCATGCAAACCTAGAAGTTTGTCAGATTAAATGTATCATCTATGCAGTCTTGACCAATTCTCCTTTTCATCTTGTTTTGCCTTTTGTTCTCTATCTCTTCAAAAACAATGGTGACCTCTAGTTGTATAAAATGCCAATTTGCATCAAGTGTCTATAGATCTGTTGGTCGCAAAGCAAAAAAGGAAGAAAGATGTCTGATATTTGAACATTAATAAAGTGATCCACTTCCAATGAAATCCCAGCTGAATTTCTAGCTTGTTATGTTCTTGCTGACAATCTTTGTTTCAGCCTTAGCTTTCAATCATAAATGTCTCATGTATTTATGGTCACTAAAAATGGTTTCGTAATGTAGTTCTGTAGGTTTAGAATTAGATACAATCTAACATGAGTCCCATTCTGGCTGATTACATAACAGCAGTGAAGGGGTATAAAAAGCAAAAGACATATGCACAGCACCCATAAAGAAAACTTTTCAATTGAAAGACTGCCTAGCATAACTGCTGCTAGCATATTTTGGCTTAATGCTTGAAGCAACAGCGGTGAACCTGTTGTGCATCAGTGTCTTTTAACCCATCCAGGATGGGATTTGAAATCTAAGAGCAGTTAAGGGGGATAAAGAATGTGCCTTCCCTGACTTAAGGCTTTATGGGTTTTTTTCTTGTCAAGCTTTTATACTGTATATGATATTAAAACCATGTAGTACCCCAACTTCCACTCATCTGTGTTCACTGTTATTTTTTAGTGGCATTGGTCGAAACTGGCCTTGGGCCTCAGGAGGAAGCAGCATTTTAGCAGAATTTGGAACACTACATTTGGAATTTATACATTTAAGCTATTTGTCTGGAAACCCGGTGTTTGCTGAAAAGGTCAGACCTTTTACAAATTTATTTGCAGATAACAGTATCCACATATTCTAAAATTATTACAGAATATTTAGAATTTCAGTTAAATTATTTAAACATGTTGTTTTCAGTGAAGTAGTGACTGTCACTTACTAACACTCAGGTAAGTTGTAGAAATGTTTAATATTTTGGAGAAAGATAAAAGTACTTTCTGTTTAGTGTCTTACGCTGACCTTGCACTTAAAGGAGTATTGGGAAAATTTGAACATAAGGCTAAGCCAAGTTTACATTTTATGTTCATGAGCAGAAGTAGGCCAGATGAAGTTCACAGACACACTCCCCCATTTCCACATTGCTTTGAGGAAAATACATGCTGAATTTAGCTTCACTTTCCTAGAAAAATAGCTCATTCCATTTTAATCAGAGACTGTCATACAAAACAAAGTCTCGTGTGTTCAAAAACTAGACTATAGAAGAAGCCAGTCTATCTGCTCCTTTAGCTTTCTGCTGTTAAGTGAAAGTGTCATTATTCATATAGGCATTCGATACCGAAATAGGTTTCAATCTGGTATACATAGTTGTTTCTTTCTTACTAAAATGCTTTTATTTGACCTGTTTTATGTTTAATCATAACTTTGTATTTTAGCTTGCACACGTAGTGTTAAATCATGGTTTAGCACTATGTGTAATATAGTGTGAAATAGAATATGGATTTTGTCAACACTAAGTCCCTATTCAGTCCTCCTTTGAAGTGTGTGGATACATCGCAAGAATCTGCAAGACTTGCAGTTTCTCAAGTTGCTCCTGACATGGAAAAAAATCGCAAGAATGTTGCCTGTTCCATCACTCAGGAGTTTTGTCACTCCTTACAAAACGAGTGAAGTGGTGAACATTATGAATATGTAGAGACTTAAATATTCACTGTGCATAGACATTTCTGTAACTCAAATCCCTGAACAATTAAGGCTAACTTGGGTGGAAGCCTCCAAATATAAAAGTCACTCCTCTCTTCAGACTCACTGCCAACAAAACTGCCAAAAGAGAAACTTAATTATATCAAGGGAACCAAGCACTGACCGTATAGGGAAGCTGATGAAGAAAGACAACCTACAAACTATCTACAGGCCCACTAAGAAAATCCAACAACTGCTACTTTCAGCAAAGGACAAGTCTACCGTATACCATTCAGCTGTGGGCAAGTCTGCCAAGGGACCACAAAATGCAGCGCCCAAACATGAATCAAGGAACGTGAAAGGCACTGCAGACTAACTCAACCAGAGAAGTCAGCCTTAGCAGAACACTTGATGAACCAACCGGGACACAGCATGTTATTTGAGAACAAAGAAATGCTGGAACACTCAAAATCTGGCTACCAGTATTTAAAAAACTCTCAAATCAGGGCAGTAAATAAAAAACAACACTCAAAAACAGGGGAATTCCAGACAAGAAACAATCAGGGCCAGCTAATCACCTCCCAACAAAGGATTCCCCCCGGCAGGAAGCAGCCAATCTTTGAAGCTGCAAGCGTATTCAATTATAATCAAGGTGATCAATTGCAACATTCACACTTGCCTCAAATAGATGAGAGTTCTTTCTCCCACCCTGGACATTCCAAAGATACATAAACCCCACTTTCCTAGTCTCCAGCAAACCTCACAACCTCTGTAGATGCCTGCCATAGATGTGGATGAAACATCAGGAGAGAATGCTTCTGGAACATGGCCATACAGCCCGGAAAACTCACTGCAACCCTGCCAAAAGAGAGTTCAGGGGTAATGCAGCACCCTCTTTTTGTTCTTAATACACATGCTTTAAAGAATGGTTTAGTTGGACTTTTTTACTCAGCTTGTTGTAGCAATTATAGAAGTGGTGGCCTTCCTAAAATCAGCCTATGCTTCCATAGTGTACTTTAGTTTCTAAATCAAAGAACGTATTTTCTAAGAGCCAGCATGTTATAGCCATTAAAATGTTGGACAGGGATTCTGGGAAACCAAGGTTCACATTCCCACTCAGCCATGAAAACCTACTAGACACCCTTGATTATATCACACTCTCTCAACCTCTGAATAAATCTTGCCAAGAAAACCCCATGACAGTTGTTATAACTTGCTCTTGCCTTGAAGAAACAGGACAATAATAATGTTCCTGAGCCAGAGAAAACATAGTTTGTCTTTTGGTTGGGGAATCTAAAAGGGTTACTGCCTGAATGCATTCCGTGTACTCTCAGACGTCACTGACAGAAGCAGGACAACTTACTTTGAGATGTATGCCAGCACTCATCACATCCTTGCTTCTGTAGCCTTGGCATCTGGGTTTCCTTTCTTTAAAAGGAGTGTGAATTCCAGCAGGAATCCATTGCACTTGTATTAATACCATAAAATTGCTTTGGGGCATGTCCAGATATTTTTTAAAATCTCAGAAGTGTTGTTTCCATTACATGTATTCAAGTTAGTATATTTACCTTACAAGGCATATACATATTTAAATGAAATACAGGGATTGTGTTTTTTGTTTGTTTTGTAATAGGTTATGAACATTCGGAAAGTTCTAAACCGGTTGGATAAACCAGAAGGTCTTTACCCTAACTATCTAAATCCCAATAGTGGCCAGTGGGGTCAACGTAAGTACCGGAGCACACAAAAATCCAGTGTAATTGGTAGAAGTGAAGTCATGCAGATATTGTCCACAATTCAAGGCTTTTGTTCTCTTTGCACAATTTCTGTTTATGTATAAAACAGGTAGACAGTTGCAGAGTTTGGAGCCACCCATGCTCCATGTGCTACATTTCTTTCACCTCTATATAAAATCATTACTGTGTTGTTGAAGGTTTTTCATAGCCGAAATCACTGGGTTGCTGTGAGTTTTCCAGGCTGTATGTCCATGTTCAGGAGAGAATGGTTCTGGAACATGGCAATACAGCCTGAAAAACTCACAACAGCCAAAATCATAACGATTTGCTCTGCACCAAAATCCTTGTTCTCTTTAAGTTTGAAGGCTTTTTGTTAATTTATAGGATTTTAAATGCAACAATGATTTTGTTAGTACAGTAATAAATACCAGGTTACCAAACTAAGTTTTTATATCCTTTGGAAATGTAGAAATTCCTTTTAATGCTGTGACTCCCACCAGCATTTCCCCGCTGAAAATAGGCAAAAGGTTGTCACTGCAACTTTAAGGATCATGAGCCCAAGTATATTTTAGTTTAGCAGGACTAGATAGTATGACCAGGTGCTACTGGTTTTATTGCTGTTGTTCCTGTACATTTATTTAGCCTTTGTTACTTCAGTAGTAAATTGAAAGTGATTTGCAGCGTCATGGGTCAATTAGATTTGTCTCTAGCAATAATGGGTATAATAGCAGGACTTATTATTGATGAGACTCTGCTTCTGCTATTTAGTCTGGAAATGTCAAGAGTTTCTGAGGCAATTCATTTAGGAAACTGTAAAGGTCATTTAAATGCTGCTGTTCAGAGATCAGCCTTCCATCACATAGAGTGCACTCTCTCTTTTGGGGAAGGTTTCTCTCTTACTTTTATTATAGAGATTCCTGTAATTAATTAGGCATTTTTATACTTTTTTAAAAGTGCTCCGTTTTATTAGCTCATCACAGGACTATCTTGCCTTCACAGAACATTTCTTTGGCAATGGATAGCAAAGGTAACATTTACGAAAACCAAATACCACGCCATAGCCTGATGAGCAAAGAAGCACAATATAAAGGTGAAATCTTTTACAGAATAGTAGATTCTGTATAGTTGTATAGTTTCCAACTTTTAGGGGGGGAAACATGAATTCATATATTTACTGAGCATTTTTAGGAGCAACCTTACAGAGCAAAATATAAAACATGGCTCTAATCTAAATTTTGAGATTCCTGTTATCCAAGGTGTTAAATTGTATTTCTTGTCAGGAGATACTTTGTTGGCTTAACTGTGAGCTTTAGTCCTTTAAAAAATCCGCTGTATCCCGTATCAAAATAAGAATGCACATGTGGTACATTACTTAATTATAATTATTTACAATTAACAGGTAATACAGTTTTGCTTTTGTTTTTTCACTTTGTTCCTATCATACATTAGACAGTGTGGACAGCTTGCAGTGTAGGATTTGATCCAAAAAGTACTTGTAAATTAAAGAGATGTGTCTCTGTGTGTATTTAAACTGAAGACGGCATTAAAATACAGTGCTTTGTTGTTGTTTTTTTCTTTTCAGATCATGTCTCCATTGGGGGACTTGGAGATAGCTTTTATGAATATTTGCTTAAGGCATGGCTGATGTCAGATAAGACAGATGAAGAAGGCAAGCAAATGTATTATGATGCTGTTCAGGTAAACAAGTTATATAAATATTTTTAAGATGATTTAAGACCCCTCCTAAGTAAGTGTTTTCGAACTAAAATTATATCATGTTTTTAGGTATTCCTTTAAAAAATATTAAGTAGTTGCATCTAAAATATCCTGTAAAATATGCTATTATTCCTTGTTGATAGGTTAGCTCCAGATTTTGTTCCCATCAACAGGAGCATCCCCTAAGTGGTGTTTCACCAAAGTTTCTTATCAGAAGGGAGAAAGAGACATTTTGCATGCTCCCTTCAAGTCCATTGTGTTGTCCCAATTCTCTTCAGAGTATTCGAAGTGGCACAAACATCTACAAGGGAAAAGAATCAATGCCTTCCACTCTATTAATAAGATCCTTTCACTGGATCAAAAATCCTTTTGTAAATGAAAGACCCTTTCTCCTCATAGAGTGTGATGCCTGCACCTTTGAATGGAGAGTAGGACTAAAGCATGCCTTCAAAGCATATTGATTACAGAACATATCTGTGGTAGAAGATCAAAATGTCACCTGCTCATACGTGTAATATTATTTCAAGCCTGTTCTGCTGCCACAAGAACAGTAGACAACAGCCAACTTGCTGCTTGGTGAATGGAAAGATGCTATCAATTGAAATAAAATATATCTTGTCATTTAAGATTCCTCTTTTAAACATTATGGAAGCATTTTCTGTTCTGAGAAATTATTTTGGTGATTTAGAATACCAAGAGTGACTTCACAGAATTGTGTTCTCCCATCATTACACATAATTGTTTGGTCCCATTACCACAGGGAAGAGCAATAATCAAATCCACACTTTTGAATGAAATTTCAACTTGCTTGAAATTAGCAGTTGTGGTTAATATACATTTTATAGTCCAGGTAGGCTTCTGAATGAATATACAGTTCATTCTCACTGGCAATTGTACCTGTCAGGATTGATAGATGTTGGATAAATGTCATTTCTGGTTGCTTGAGAGTTACTTTTAAAGCAGGCCTAATACTATACCCTATACCTGTACTAACTTGATATTGCTATTAAAAACAGTAATTAAAAGCAAAGGAAGACAACTGAACTTAATGTATCATTGCTGCTAAAAATTGGTTTTATTTTAATTTTTATTTAAAGTAAAATTTCTTTCAGTTTTTTGCCAGTTGTTTGAGAGTTCTGTTGTTTGAATTCTGGTTAACTGAGAATATACTGTATTTTGATTAAGCAAACCTGAATATGTGTTATTCTAAAATACTACAGTAAACTTAGCTCTTGCCGTCAGATTTTTTAAAAACAGCATAAAAAGCCAGACTGCCATTACTTAAACCAGGGATTCTCAAACTGTGCTCTGCAGAGCTCTTGGGGCTCCGCAGCTAATAGTGAGAAGCGCCATGGAATCATGCTGCTTGTCACCTCATCTTTCCTCCTCTTGAAAAATGCAGGGAAATTATTGAACTGCCAGAATCAGCAGCAGCAGCATCCCTGGGCACAGACCCTTTCCTCCCTCACTGCCCAGACTCTTCCTTGCTGCCCAGACCCACCCACCCCCAACTTTCTTTGCTTCCAAAACCCTATTTCCCTCCCACTACTCAGAGTGGTGGGAGGTTGGACTGGATGGGCCCTGAGGTTTTTGTCTTTTGCATTCTGTGAATTAGTTCACACAAACACTCTCCATCCATCTGCCACTGGCCCAGTCCATGCCAGATAGATAGACAGACACACACACACACATTATATATAATATATAAACATTTCTTGGGAGTCCATGAGAAACTTTTGCTTCAAAAAGGCTCTGCAGCTGAAAAAGTATGAGAACCCCTGACTTGAAACAGTAAAATCCATCAGTGAGGAGGCCAGGCTCCAGGGAGATCAATGTATATTTGCAAAGCCCTTGTCCACACACTATTATATTTGTAGAGTGCCATTATCAGGGCAGTCCCTTATTCTTCATGTTATCCTGCTTTTGATGTTCATTGCCCTTTGGAATCAGCTTTGGGTGGGGGCTTTATTTACTGAATGCAAACTAACTGACTTTTTTTTCTAATGTTTCTAGTCTATTGACACCCATCTAATCAGGAAGTCTAGCACTGGTCTGATGTACATTGCTGAATGGAAGGGTGGCCTCCTTGAACACAAAATGGGCCACCTTACTTGTTTTGCTGGAGGAATGTTTGTTCTGGGTGCAGATGGAGCACCAGCTGATAAAACTGGACGTCACGTTGAACTTGGTGCTGAAATTGCCCGCACATGTCATGAATCCTATGATCGCACAAGTAAGCTTTCTCATGTAGTTGATGTCTCATTCTCAAGAAAGTTTGTGTTGAATTTCTACCACATATAATTTCCAACTTCATATGTCAAATGGGAAAGTTTGCATAGATACACATGACTTCTTCATGTGTTGGATTTGTCAGACATACTGCTAAGGCAGGCCAGAAGAAAAGCTACAGCTATGCCTAAAATGTGAGCTACTATTGACTTTTATCAGAAATCTATTTTCTTTTCAATCAGTCTCCTTAATACTTCTTTTTAATTTTTTTTATAGATGAGTTATAAGTATGGAGGAGGATAGAGAATATGAAAGAAAAAAACCTCCCTTATAAGATACATTTAAAATAATATATTTTGTAGCAAACCATATAATATATCAAGTAGTTATTGAGTGCCTATACAAATTTGGTAAGTATGTGTGAAAAGATAGAAAATAATTCAATGTTCAATTGAAATAGTCGCCTATCTTGTACTCACACTTCCAAGCTAAGAACTCACTCTGCAAAGCATCAGGGAATAGCATTTATACTAACCACAGCCATATAGTATTATCTATGCTTGCTATGTCTTAATTTTAAATTGTTTCATACTAGAAACAAGTAGAGATCAATATGGACTAGACTGTTAATGGCATATAATCTCATCTGACCAATTGACTTCAGTGTAGTGAACAAAATTAATATTTTTAATTCCAAGGAAAGTGCCAGTTTTCATTTTAAAGCAAAACCATCTCATTAGGAGAAACACTATGGAATTTTTCAGTAGTATTATGGAAAAGCTTTTGGCATATTTCTTTTTGGCAATGGCAATAAATGTCATATAGAGCAGATGTATTTTGTTTGGAATTTATGTAATATAGTAATGTCATAATGATTTCCATACATGTATATGACTTCTACATACTGAAGAGCTGAAAATCCTTTATGATTATTCTGATTATTGAATGTAAATATTGTTTTAGGCATGAAGCTGGGACCAGAAGCCTTCAGGTTTGATGGTGGAGTTGAAGCAATTGCTACCAGACAAAATGAAAAATACTATATCTTGCGTCCTGAAGTTATAGAAACTTACATGTACATGTGGCGATTTACCCATGACCCAAAGTATCGTGAGTGGGGCTGGGAAGCTGTAGAGGTAATATGTTTGTGCTTATTTCTTTCAAAGTTTAATTTTATGGCAGATGTTTTATTTAAAAAATCTTCCAAGCAAATAGCGATTCTGTAGGGGTTTTCTAACTTTCAAGAATTAGGTTTATTTAGCCCCACCCCAGATCTGTTCTGAATCCCTGTCTGACTCATGGAGTATCTGGTGCTATCCCACCTTTTTAAATTATCCCACTATGATTTTAAATCAGTGATAAGGAGTAACAATAGGATTCTCCTCCTAACTCCTCATTCAACGTAACAATGAGGAATGTCACAAAAGGACTTGTCCAGGTAAAGAAATTGAGGACTAAACTAGGTGATGTGAAAAGGAAACCTTAAGGGGGATGTTAGTAATAACAACACTGTTGTCTGGTCTACTGGACTATTCTGGGAAGTAGTGAGATGTCAAGAGCTGAAACAGTTATTTGTCTCTCGCATTAATAGAAATGTGATCATAGCTTAACTTGAGCCAACATCTATCTCATCTGAATTTTTTTTAAAAAATAAGCATATAACTGGTGTTTTCTAATATGTGTCAGGACCTTACTGTCTTAATATAGATATATTCAGTCTCTATAAAAATTCTGTCAAAACACAAGTGCACTTGTTTTTTACTTACATATACTGGGATATAATTTGAGGACATTTTCTGGCTAGTTTGCTAGCCTCGTTCTTAATGAAAAAGGGTTGGCGAGCTGAAAAGCAGTTGTGTGCCTTAGAAGTTGTGTTTTAACATATAATAATATTGTAATGCCCTTCAAAGGCTGGAATTGTATCCATCTGAAGAAATAGCAGTGAACTGAAAGATTTGTTGTCAAGGATGAAATACCACCTGAAATTGTTTTCCAGAACCATTTTCCCCTGTATGAAAGCTTTGTGTTTTTGTAGGATTTTTTTGGGTCTTAACCATAAACATAGAATCATAGAATCAAAGAGTTGGAAGAGACCTCATGGGCCATCCAGTCCAACCCCCTGCCAAGAAGCAAGAGTATTGCATTCAAAGCACCCTTGACAGATGGCCATCCAGCCTCTCTTTAAAAGCTTCCAAAGAAGGAGCCTCCACCACACTCCGGGGCAGAGAGTTCCACTGTTGAACGGCTCTCACAGTCAGGAAGTTCTTCCTCATGTTCAGATGGAATCTTCTTTCTTGAATTGGACACAGTATTCCAGATGTGGTCTAGCCAAGGCAGAATAGAGGGGTAGCATTACTTCCCTAGACACTATGCTCCTGTTGATGCAGGCCAAAATCCCATTGGTTTTTTTTTTTGGTTTTTTTTGCCGCTACATCACATTGTTGGCTCATGTTTAACTTGTTATCCATGAGAACTCCAAGATCTTTTTCACACGTACTGCTCTCGAACCAGGCATCCCCCATTCTGTATCTTTATCTTTTGTTTTTTTCTGCCTAAGTGGAGTATCTTGCATTTGTCACTGTTGAACTTCATTTTATTAGTTTTGGCCCATCTCTCTAATCTGTCAAGATCATTTTGTCAAGATAATTTGTTCTGCCAATATAAATATTCACAGAAAACTATGTCTGTTATAAAGGCCCCTCTTGAAACAGCTCCATATAATTACTATAATTCTATTTCTTACGGTGTTAATTGGAGCAGAGCTTCTTAAACTCTTCCCACTCTTTACCCCTTTCTGCTTGATAAATGTGTACATGATAAATTTGTATATAGGTATAAAAATAAGTATAAAATCAAACATTTAATCAGTAAGGCTTGTTAAACAAATTGATCTTTCTTTTTATGAAACACACCTGAAGCTTTTTCTACAGACTTCATTGTAAACACTGCATGTTGTTACTAATAGATTCATATAATGTCCAAAACAGCCACTGTGTGATCAGAAACCTTTTACTATTGCCAAATTTTTCATGTCCCCAACATTGAATAAAGGGGACCCCATTTGAGGTTGGAATCTACAGTTCAAGAAGCAGTGATTTAGCGTGATCGGGTACTCTGAAGATGGGGGTAACTGAATCCAAAAACCGCTCCTCTTCCCTATATCCAGCTACTTTACTATACCAATCTATAAGTGACATAACTAAACTCATCTGCTAGTGTTGATGAGATCATTTTTAAAGACAACAGATAGCAACAGATAGCAAGAGTGAAGCCTTATGCCCACTTTCTGTCCTGGCCAGGAAGAGCTTTCTTTGCTTTGGAATTCATCCATGGTGAATTGACCAAATTATATTTGATATTGCAAATATTTCTGAGAAATGATGTGATTCTAAGAACTATAATACATTAATTTGCAACTCAGAACTACCACATCTAGAAGGATATCATTTCTAATTTTATGCAGCTTTTTTACTAATTTAGGAAATTATATTTAATTGTATTTTTCTCTAAAACTCCATTTCAATTTTACTTTTAAAAAAGTAAGTTTCTAATGCACCCAGACTACTTCACTCCCCACCAACAACACTCTCTCATACTTGACTTTGTTACCATGTTTATAACCTCCTTGAGATGAGTTTCATAGAATGATGATACCCCAGTTCTTCAACTGGTCTTTTGTGCGTTAATTTGCAATAGAATTGAAGGGAAATTCATAGCCTTTATTGCAAAACAAAAATGAAAAATTGTAATTGTATAGGCATACTGATTTAGCAGAAATTGACATTGTGACAGAAAGCGTCTAAAATACTGTAGTGAAGTGGTGCCTCGCAGTATTTGCTTCATCCCAATATTCCATAAAAAGTGGGACCTATGTACAGAGATGAATAATTCTGTTTCAGTTGCACTGAAATAAGTGGAAATTAAATACACATGTTTTAAATTATCCCATTCGCTTTAACTGGACTTCATTTAAGATACTTCTAGTTTTTCTGGTAAATGTTTCATTGCATTTTGTTACTTTTCTTTTTGTCACTTTGTTGAAAGGCAGTCTGTGAATGTTTTGTAATAAGGATAGGAGACATGTCTGTAACATGTCTCATCAAACTCTTCTCTCTCTTGAAATTTAGGCATTGGAACAATACTGCAGAGTAGATGGTGGTTATTCCGGTGTCAAAGATGTATACAGCAACCAGCAAAGCCATGATGATGTACAGCAAAGTTTCTTCCTTTCAGAAACGCTCAAGTAAGCAGTTAAAACTCTTCCAGTAAAAGGTAGTAAACAAAGTGTTAGCTTTTTTTCATCTGGACAACGGAACAGGGGACTAAGAAAGAAGTGTTGAGTTTATCATGGCTGTTACATAAAAACCTCTCAAGGAAATACAAGCCTTTAAAATGATTTCAAGTGAGGCACACAAGGGAGCCTTCCAACAAAAATGCCAGTCTCTTGAAACAAATTAGAATGCCTGAGCATTTGCTACTTAAATGCTATCCAAAATATAGTAATGTATCACACAGTAATAACATTTTCTTGGGTGTAATTTGATTTATGAAGTGGTGGTTCTTTTCTCTTCATGAAGCAGATTGAGCAATGAATCTGGCAAGCTGTCTACTCAGAAGGAATCATCTCCCCTGTCCCAGACAAAAGATCTGTTAAATTAGAGAACATAGGCTTGCCTGCTGGTTTTGGAAAGTAAATAATGTTTTGAACTGTTACCTTCATATTTACTGATGTGTGCAGTTCAGGCTCTGGAATGCGGAAGAAGCAGAGGACTAGTCTAGGAATGAATAATGTTATGAATGTAGCCGCAAGATGAAAAGAACAGAAATAAAACAGGGGTGCACCTAGGGATTTCCACAGTTATTTCCTATCATCCCAATTCTTATATTAAGATGTAAATAATTGGTTTGGTACCTGGAATAGTAACAAAATTATTTGCTCTTCTGACCTAACCTTCCACTTTTGTGATATTTTTTCCCTCTTTGCTAGGTACCTGTACTTACTGTTCTCTGAAGATGATCTCCTGCCATTTGAACACTGGGTCTTTAACACTGAGGCACACCCTCTTCCAGTCCTAACAACAGAAGAAGGGCAAAAAGGCAAAGGCAAATAATACTGAATTTTGTTTTGGGCACATGATAATTATTAATATTCCAGAGACATCACTTTAAACCATTTTTGCAGTCTGCTGTCAACTCATACAATATTTGTCAAGGGACCTATAATCATGAATTATAATTAATCTTATTTATGTTTTAATAGAAAAAGTAACTTGTCATCTCTAGATTTTGTGAGGCCACAGTGTGCATTCAGCTGAATAGAATATGGAGGTCAGCATGTTACTTGTTTTCTGTTTTATTTTTGACTGCAAAATTCTATCCTCCTCTGTGAGGAGATGTCTGCTTTAAGCTGTAATACTTTGCTGTGTTGCAAAAAGCCATAAAGAATTAAGTATGAAGAGCTTTTTCTTTTTTAAAAATCTGTGTTAATGTGGTTTGTCTGATCACTAGAGACAAATCTAACTGTGACAGCCTCTTCTGATGCGGGTCTATCATTAATTGGTAATTTGAATACTTTAGAAGGTGTACATTCATGGAAAATACATAAGAATATTTTCATTTCATCTGTGCATGCTGTTATGTTGAATTGTGACTCATCTTAAAGGGCAAAGTCTGAATTTTGAATCCCTTTCCAAATATATTCTTTGTGAATATTTCGAAAATCAAATCTAACCATGGATAACTTGGGTACCCAGTTTTTTTCTGTACCTCTGTCTAGTTTCACAAGCAGCGGTAAAACCAAGAGCATGGAAGCTGCCATCTGTGCATAGCTTCAGACTGAAATTCTAAAGGTCTTAAACTGAATTTGCACAGGAATGCAAAAATTGTATCTCTTTCAAACTGGCAATACTGTATTCGAGGTGGGTTGGTCTAGTGTGTGTTTTGAAACTTTTCCTGTTTAAAGTTTTAGACAAGCTAGCCACATAAGTTTGTTATTGCAGTTTCAACATTCCAGCTAGCATTAAGTGCAATCGAAATAGATAACAGGAAAACAAAAGAAAAACTCATTTCAAAAGTAGCATGTTTCAGAAAGCGAAATTCTAAGTTTTAATTCACTTTTTGGGGGAGACTAAAGCTGACCCCACTACTTCTCAAAGTGCTTGATTTAAAAAAACTAATCAGTGTCCTTCTTAATAAAAATGACATAATAAATATTGGTTGCTAAGGGACAGTTTTGTTGTGAAGCAGCTCTTGTCTGCTTCTGCCAACAGAATTGCCTACATGACTGAAATTAAGATTAAAATATTACTTTAATGCAGTATTGGTACTTGCTTGAGAGAAATCTTTTACACATTTTGAAGAACTCATGGGATTGGGGAGATAAATTGTACAGAAATTTAAGGCAAGTGGTTGCTTTCTGTTCAGGCTTACATCATTAGTTGTGTACATAGCTTTGAACAACATTTAGCTAGAAGAATAAGTCAACTTCCTCGCCCTGTTTTATCTACTGCTGCCATTTTTATGCTGTCAAAAATGCTATCCTCCTCCTCATACCAGCTTCTTGATATGGAGCATAAAATAAGTGATCCCAGAGACAAAGTAATGACCATATCTGGTCTACATCCCTTTTCCAAGTGCTTTTTAGCCTCATTGCATGATTCTGCATTTCAGTATAATAGCAAACAATAACCATACTGCAATTATATTTCAAACAAGCTTACAACATAATGGTTTCATTTGCAAAGATCCACAACACTGCATACAGAATCAGGCCATAGGAATGACACTTAACAGTGTGTGATCTGGCAGTTTGAATGGTGAGAACACATAAGCAATAATTTTAACCTTCCCCCACCCAAGATTTTTCCTGCCCCCTGTTTTGTGCCTCTCCATGCCAAATCACATCATAAGTTCTTAATCAGCCTCAAGGTTTCAAAGGGATCAGTTAGGAAGATTTGTGAATGAATGATGTGAGGAATGAGATGACATAGGACTTCACTAAGGACCTCATCACAAAGGCCCATGGATTTGCCACACAACGTGGTGAATCCTTGGGCTCCTGTTGGGTATAGAGAAGCCGTCACTCCATGCCCTGGACAACTTTCCTCCATTGCTGGTAAAGCAACACGGCAAGGCTCCCATGTTGCCGCAGCACAGGCATATGTCACTTGCTCTCTCTTTCCAGATGGAACCCACCTGGAAGTACACGTGCACCATGTAATGGGCTCCATCCTGAAAGAGGAGAACAATGGGGAAAGTACCCTATCGGATGAAGATAGTAGCTCTTCACTGCTATTTATACTAAAGTCATAATTTCATTATAATTGGGTATGATGATTTCTTGTGTTCAGTTTTTGCATTCTGTGTTTGATTTTTTTTAACAAAATGAAAAAGCCTTTTGAAAGCATGATGTTAGAAACAATACTGTGGTAAATATTTATCTGAATCTTATTTCACTGGTTCTTCTGAGATAAGTATGTCTTTGTACTGTATTTAACCATCCTTTTTCTCATTTGGAAGTGTTAGGAAGAGTTTAATTCTAAATACTCATTCCTATAGATGTGACTGAAGAAAGCCAAATGTAATTTGATTTTTATCTTTTTCCATAAATAACCCATCTCTAGCTCACTTTTTAAAATACTAAATCATAGTTGTACTTGGGCACTAAGGCATCTACTGCTCACAGTAATAGGTTGTCCAACAAAGTGTGCATTCTGTCATATCACCGGCAGCACTGCACTACTGTGTACACAATTAAAATAACAGTAATTACAATTAAATTAAACACCTCGATGTTTCGAGTCAGTACTCTGTTATCACACAGCCTGCCATGTTACAAGAAAAATCAGTGATATGTTATTGCAAGAGAAGATAAGTTTAGGATGCCCACTGCAGTACAGGTTTTCTAGTCTTGGAACTCAGAATTATGTAACTCGGAACGATTAACTATCTTGTTTTCAGAATTCACTCATGTTTCAAAAGAAAATGCAGGGCAGCAATTACTTGAATGGGCTAACCATGTGCCGTGCTCTTTTAGAACATTGCAATCTGTGCAGTATCTTTAATTCAATGAAGATAGTTAGTGTCAATTTGCAACGCTTAAGAGTGAAGCTCCACTCTAACTCTCTTTGCCCTAAATCCAACATTGTGTTGATACTGGAACTGTAGCATTACATAATTTCCTTCCCTTTTTCCACCCCCTCCACCTCTCCCCCCCCCCCCAAAAAAACCCAGGCTCTTGAGTTTCTCAGTCTTCAAACGGCGATGTTAAGAGTGTGCAGGGGACTGCTATTGAGAACAGGGATTGCCCTGTTCTGCTTTCATTCTGTTTAGAGGTGATGCCAGCATTTGTGTAGCATTGAATGTTGCTCTTGGGAGCTACCATTGCCATTAGACTGTGATGCTGATCCCCAAATTCTCTTCCATGCACAATAAATCCGCAACATTCCTCACAGTTCTACCTCAGGGCCCCAAAACCCATCCTTCCTTTATTTTGACCCTTGCTAGCAACATCTATTTAGAAGAGCATGAATAACCTAAACTTTGTGGGAGATCTACCAGATCTTCTAGTGTGCGAGAACAGATCTCAATCTAAAGAGCATAATGTCCTGTCCAAATATTTGAATTTTTCAAAAATACCAACAGAAAGAGATCCTTGTTTATCCAACATGATTTTCAGTTCTCTTAAATAATAGCCCATTTTTGCCTTATACCTAAAGTCCTTCAAGCCTCTATTTTGGAGGCACTGGATTTCACCCATTTTCTGTGCCAATCAAGTGCTTCTCCTTGCACGTAAATCTAGAACATTTCATTTTAAAATAATTATTCTGTAGATATTTATTTCATCTGTACATGCCTACTTACATTGAAAGAAAATGTTCAGTACATCAGGTAAATTGTATCTAGGCCACTACCTAAAATATTTTCATCATTTACTATACATTCCATACAAACAGAGACCATTGGACTGAAGTAGCCTCTGGAGGGAAATCTGGCCTTTCAGTGTCTATCCTGCTCAGCACTTTCACATCCATATAATAGCCTAGTTTGGTTGAGTAAAGAACAACGAAATACAAAACAAACTCTCAATTTGATGAAAGTAGGATTATTCTGACCTCATGCTCTAAGGAAGGGTATTCTACACCCAGAAGATCTGTTTTCCTGAGATGTGCTTATAGAGCCCTTTAAAGGGGGAATACCCAAACCTATCTAATGGTAGAAATGTAGGCATACTTCACACTCATATTGCCTGATGGATTCTCCCCACCTACTGTATTTTTGGTGATGTTAGGCATTGATGTGCTGCTGCCAAAATGTGCAAGTTCCCATTTTGGGAAACCTAGTTATTCTGCCCCGGTGGTATTTCTGTACTTGTCACTATAAATACTGGAAGATAATTATGAATGTAGCAGGAATTGTACTAGTCATTTTGCTCCTCGCCACTCCCTTAGAAGTAATTCACATAAACAGGTGCAATCTATTAAAAGGCATCAACATACGTTTTCATCAGCTTCATATTTTCTCTTGACTGGAAATTGTGATTATGATCTTTTCTTCATGGGTATTATTATTTGAAAGAGCACAAAGTTTCTATGGTTCTATAACATACAGTAATCAGGTTGTATGTATAAGCTGCACTATAATGTACCTTTTTTGTAAAGTGATGTAAGTAGACAAGAAGATTGTATACCCTTAGAACTGCTAAAGTAAAAGAGAAACAAGTTTTATATCTTCAAAAGTAGTTTAACCCAAGAACACCAAAGTATAAAACTTCAGAGTGATCACCGTTTCAAGACTACAATCCTGAGATTATTTACAACGATGTAAATGGTTTCAGAATTATGTTTTAGTGTTTATGAATGATTGTCATACAAACACCCTGGGGGGAAATCTGTTACCTTGTACATTTAAATAACTATGGGGTGACTGATTAAATGCTAACCACTGTATATGTATTTTAGAATTAAGACAAAAATTGTTTTTAAAAGGTCTGTTCCTGTTTAGACAATGTCTAAACTTCCATTGCTCTTCATCATATCACAGTGCAGTAGTTTCAATATCTATTCAGTCTTGAAAATTACTAAAATATCATGTGTTGTATGACAGCTCTATGATCCCCAAATGACACCGTGTTGATATGGTATACTTCTCATGCCCTCATTTTGTGTAATTAAAATCTTCTTTTAATTTGTGCATATCTCACTTTGTCCTTTTCCACCTTTATAGAAATCTCTGAAGTTATAAAAGATCAAATGTTTAATTTTTAAGAACTATATTTGTAAAAAAAAATCTATTGTGAATAAAGCTTTTTAATACACCTTTTGTCTGGGCAGACATTTTTCATATACTTTGGTAACTGGTGGATCCAAGTGTCAAAATTTGTCTGTATCTGCTGATTTTGTTATTTCCATTACAGCACTCTCAACATGAATATATGAAACTAGCTCCATAGTTAGTTGAACAGTGAGCCTATTAGGTCTAGAAGTCTCCCTTCTATAATTAGAAGGTCTCCAGGAATCCAAAACAGCTTCTTTTCACAGCCCTGCCACTTAGATATTTTAACCAGAATTTGCAGTAATATAACATTTCAGACTGAAAGCATATATTCTGTCATCACGTTGTGCCTCTTTCTTATTTCATCTGTGAATGATGTGTAGATGCTGTCATATAGGTGCTAGACAACAGATCCATATAGGTCATTTCATATAACAACACAACCAACTCGATACTTCAGATTATCAGAAAATAATATATAGTAGTGACTGGCTGAAACTGGAGTTTCTGCATGGATAGTGTTTCAAAGTTTTCTCTTTCAAGTAATAAAATGGTAATCATCCTTGAGTAGAAAAAGATGTAAAAAAAACTGGTAAGGTTGGAGTTAAAATGACATACCTGATATGGCATAGCGTATCGCCTGGCATGACTTAAAATGTGTAAATAATATATCTACTGAACAGATTTCATATGAATATTGTTCAGTAACTTATTTCTGAATTTGTTTCTCTCTGGGGAGAGAGGGCAGGGTATAAATAAAGCATTATTATTATTATTATTATTATTATTATTATTATTATTATTATTATGTAGCTGAAGCCTTAGCTCCACCATTTTGTTTCTCTGTTCAGCTCAGATTATTTTGTGGTTTTCTTGGCTATTTAAGGGACTACCAAAGAGACTACTAGGGTGTAGAAACCATGTAGGCTGCTTTATTTTGAGCTGCATTTCTTTTTTGCATCATTTGAGAGCCTTAAAACAATACATTACTTCTGGGATTTTTACTGCCTACTCATCTTACGCTAAGGCTTTTATTGATCAGAAGTGTACATTCGCCAGGCTGTCCCTGCTGTCGTGACTTTGAGTGCACTGCCATGAGTGATAAATGTTAACTTCAGTCAGCCTTATGCTGAAGCCAGTTTTGTGAGAGCTTACCCCCTCCCCATTCTTTTGCACAAGAGATTTGTTAGAGCTATTGTGAGATTATAACATCACGTTTTCATAAGGCAGAGAGGACAAATGTCTTAATAGGATAAGTAAAAAAAAAAAAGGCTGAATAATATCCTATTACGCTTGTATAGGTGACCTGATGGCATCTTGTGTATCACCCCTACCTCAAAACTGAAAACATCTGTCAATGATGAAATAAGAAATTAAATTACAATTACGGCAATTCATAATAATGTTAAACGATTAAAGTCCATCTATTTGATGAATGCAAACAGGATGCAATAATTCAGCACAGGACATTATTTTTTTATATCCTTGAGGGGGCCAAAGTAAAATCATGAGCTGTGGACAGTTAATAAAAATAGTCATCTTTCTTGCTGGGTTCATAAAACGTATATAAAATTCTAAACAGATGCCAGATTTTTAAAATCAGTTTGCATCGCTCACTAACTGCTTACTAGACTGTAGAGCTACATGATTGTAGAATTTCAAATAAAAATGCCCAAATGTAACAAGGACCATCCACCTATGAGAATTAATTTCTACATATCTTGCAGATGTTGTACAGCTATAAATCCCAGTGCTTGTGCAGGCCAGACATAGGCAGATGCATGTAAATCTAAATCAATATCCACATCCAGATAATATCCTTTTTTTTTTTTTGGTCGTGTCAGGAGTGATTGCAAGTCGCTCCTGGTGTGAGAGAATTGGCCATCTGCAAGGACGTTGCCCAGGGGATGCCTGGATGATTTTGATGTTTTTATCATCCTTGTGGGAGGCTTCTCTCATGTCCCCGCATGAGGAGCTGGAGCTGATAGAGGGAGCTCATCCGCCTCTCCCCGGATTCGAACCATTAGGGCTGTGCAATCAATAAAAAAGTTTCAAAAATCATTACAAAATTAGAGGGCACTGCCATTTCATTTCTACAGTGTTTCTATAGTATCATTAATAAAAAATATACTATTACAATAGTAACAAAATTTTGCTCCTGTTTTGTTAAAGTAATTGGGGAGGGGGGGTCCCAGGGCTTCTTTATCCTCATTTTTAGAGCTATTGGGGTGAAACTTGCTACAATGATAGAACACATTTAACACTGTTACCCACCTCAAAGTTTCAGAATGTTTCACTCATCTATTGATTTGGGGGGAATTTCTTTGGGTTTACCAAAAAGATTTTTAAAAAAACTACAAGAACTATGTCCTTGAGTTTCTCTACAGTTACACAACATAACCAGGGCAACATTCCCCAAGTTTCAGAAATATTAGCATATCTCCTGGGGTTTTTTTTTGGGGGGGGGGGGTTGAATTTTTTCTCAAGAAAAAGCTTTTTCATCTGCTGTGGCTGGCTGGAGCGGGGTGAGGTGATATTTCTTAAGCACTATATTAAGCAAGAGCAAGGTCTCCCAAAACCCAGAGAATCTTTATAGTCCCCCCCCCCAACAAAAAAGGGTTTGAACTCAATGCTTTGACTTGTGGCCAAGATAAACATGTGGTTGTGTTCTGTTTTGTTGAATTATGCACACATAAATCACACTAGCTATAGAAAAAGCAGGTAAGGCAACTTATGCCAGAGTTAAACAAGTGGTTCTTTTTTTTCTTTTTTCTTTTTGGATTATACTCAGAAATCACACTAGGTCTAGAAAAAATAGCTAAGGCAACTTGTGCCAGAATTAAATAAGTGGTTGTATGGGGTTTTTGTTGTTGTTGTTGTTGTTGTTGTTTTACTTTATTATGCACACAGAGATCACACTAGCGCTAGAAAATGCTGCCAAAGCAAGTTGTGACTGGATAAAAATGTGTCCTTAGGATACAGCAATGTATCCCAAGGAGTAAACCTTAAAGATTCTCTAAAATGCAGCAAGAATATTAGTCGTAAGGCATAAGGCACCCACCCACCCCAAAATAGAATAAGCATACTAGTGTCTGTCTCAGGGCCTCTGCAGTGTGCAAAACTTCTCTCCCCTTCTCTTTCCCTCATGTGAAGAGTTAGCCTCAGCTACAGTAAGCTAATAGCTATAAGCTAAGCAGCAGCTAATGGAGTCCTCTCTCTTCTCCAGTGCAACCCTGTGCCTTATACCTGCCTGCCTGGAAAGCTAACCTGGCACTGAGCTCCTCTCTCTTTCCCTTCCTGAGCGTGAGTGGAGGGAGTGACAAGGCTCTGGGGGAAAAGAGCAATGACAGCGGCTCTGCCTTCTCTCTACCCCTGCCCCCAGGCCTGATTGGCTGAGAGGCATGGCAAAATGTTTGGCACAGAGTTATGATGTTAACGCAACTTATGAAAAAACACTAGACTAAAGTTTTTATTCTTAATATTTCGGTGCAGATGACACCCATTCATCAGATATCTCGTAAGTATGAATCTCACTACCGTATTTTCCAGCATATGACGACTGGGCGTATCAGACGACCCCCAACTTTTCCAGTTGAAATATAGAGTTTGGAATATACTCACCATATAAGACTAGCCCTCTTCCAACGCACACTAAATAAAAATTTAAAAAGCATCAGTTTTTATTTCAATATGGTAATTTTCCTATTACTGTACCTCCTTCTCTGCCTCTCTGATCTCGCACATGTGCACCTGCCTCTTCAGGAGTGAGATCTGAGAGGCAGAGGAGGAGGTATGGTAATAGGATACAAGGGCGAGCCAAACAGGTAAAAGAGGTGTGTTTTTCTGGGCCCAGAGCCACTCTTATCTCTTTTTTTCCATACCCCAGGCGCCCCGGACGCCTGCAGCTTGCTCCACCCTTCACTAACATCTTCCCAGTGAGGAACCCCTTCACCTCACCATTGGGACCGCATTAAGTCCACGAATCCTGATGAATGGATTTTCTTCTACCATACTTGTACAGCGTCACCCTTAATGCTTTCATACAGTAGCTGCATACGGCAGAGACGTGGCCACTACCACTTTTGAGCTCCCCCCACCATATGCAGCAACCATAGATTCTTCAAACCGGATTGGAAGTTTCAGCACCCGCTCTATAAGACGACTCTCGGCATATAAGACTACTCCCACATATAAGACGATTCCCACATATAAGACAACTCCCGCGTATAAGACAACCTCTGACTTTTGAGAAGATTTTCTTGGGTTAAAAAGTAGTCATACATTCCAGAAAATATGGTAATTTGATCTGACTTACAACAAGTTACGAAAATATTGCATAGCCCTAATATCCATATATCTATACTATATCCTAAACGGTTCTGGCCCAACTTATCTATCCGAACGTATCTCAGCCTATCAGCCCACCAGGACCCTAAGATCTTCTGGGGAGTCCCTGCTCTCTATCCCGCCGGCTTCACAAGTGCGGCTGGTGGGAACGAGAGACAGGGCCTTTTCTGTGGTGGCCCCTCGGCTTTGGAACACCCTCCCCATAGAGGTACGATCAGCCCCTTCGCTGATGGTGTTTCGGAAAAGATTGAAGACATGGATGTTTAAACAAGCATTCGGTTAATCCGTTGCAACGAATTTTGATGACTAAAGGATGGGTAATCATGGACGACGAATTTTGGATTGCGATTTCAGTTACGAGATGCATGGGATTGTTATTGGTGGCCCAATAACTTGTATTGTATATGTGTTTTATGCTTTTAAATTGAATATTGTTTTTTAACTGTTGTAAACTGCAATGAGTCGCCGATTTAGGCTGAGATATTAGCGGTATACAAGCGCATTAATAAATAAATAAATAAATAAATATCCATGGAAGTCGTCACCGTCCATTCCGTAGCACCTACAGGGAAACAAGGTTGAAGTAAGTATGTAACATTTAGTTGGAATCTATTGCATGTAATTTATATAATTTGAATATAAGTGCTTATGAAACAGATGACAAGCTTAGAGAAGATGTTCTTAATCAGAGTACTGC